TTCTTTTGTTGCAATCAAATTTGATGACGGCATGACATATTTTAGGGGGCAATATTGATTGTTTTGGGGAAGAAACGAACTTCCTATTTTCTCATCAATATGCATACTATTGTGATCTAAGTAATACACTTTGATATTAGCCAGTATTTAATGGTCGGTAAATAAGAGTTGTATCATAAAGCCAACTTAGTGAGTCTCTGATGTTTTCTGTTTAGTCCATCTGAGTATATCTATCGTGTTGTGGAAAGTGGTCACAAACGCTTGAAAAAAAGGTCAATTTATTCATAAAATCCCACCGGATGTCCCTAATTGCTGGAAAATATGCTTCTATAATGCACTCCATTGTTTAATGGAAACAGGATATCTGTGTTTCACTGACTGGAAAATAAGTAGAAAATTCAATAAAAAAAAGTTTCTTTTAGTTTTTTTTTTTTACTCAGTTTTTTCTCTCTATTTTTTAAAGTATTTTACTTGTTTTATTCTTCCGCTGCAGAAGAGTAAAATTTCATTATGCTGTTGTTGCTTATATGAGATGATTCAATATCCCTGAAACTAATTTTTTGCACTATTATTTTCTTTTTTTATATATATATATATATATATATATATATATATATATATATATATATATATATGTGTGTGTGTGTGTGTGTGTGTGTGTGTGTGTGTGAAAATATATAGAAAATAGGAAGGAACTGGTTAGGTAAATAATCCAAAGTCCCTTAGTATTTTAGTTATTATTTTTAAAAAATAGTGCTCGATACAAAAGTAGAGCATAAATATAATTATTTATTTAAAAATATGATTCCAAATCGCGACATAAGAGGTTTCATGTTTCAAAACAAGAGCCAAAAACTTCAATATAATTATTTAAATTAAATTGAATTAAAATAAGCGAAATTTTTTTTGGAATTCAAAAGAAATTTCGCTTGAAGATGGGACAGAACTTATTTTAATTCAATTTAATTTAAATAATTATATTGAAGTTTTCGGCTCTTGTTTTGAAACATGGGACTTCTTATGTCGCGATTTGGAATCATATTTTTAAATAAATAATTATATATATATATATATATATATATATATATATATATATATATATATATTATAAATTAATTGATTTAAAATATGGTTATTTTCGCTGACACAGTTCCAACCATGTTTCAAAAATAGAAGCTAAAAACCCTAATTTTATTTTTTGCAAATAAATTAAAAGCATTAGTTCCATTTCATCTTCAAGCGAATTTTGGAGTAACTTTTAAAATTTACCGGGTTTTAAATACACAGCTAAAATCACGTTTCCATGGTTACAGAATATTCTACTCAAAATTGAACACGGGGTGTCTAGATTTTCCTTATGACAGTATCATTGTATCAGTTATTAGCTACATTTTGGAAAAGGGGTGAGGATGTATTTTACACTGAAACCTGACGTCGGTTGAATGGATGTCGTCTGAATTTAAAAAAAAAAAAAAAATTGTTAACGGTAAAAAATTTTACACAAATTTTTTTCACAGGCTGTCGTGCCTTGCAACGTGTCTAAACCACGCTATTTGCTCCGTTTGACAGTGGCGAGTCGAGGTTCCTGGTGGTCCACAAAATTTTCAACTCGTTTCCGCACAAGCTCATTTTCCCAATAGCATATGCGAAGGATTTTCCTCAGATATTTGTCAAAAAGCGCTTGGATGTTCCTCTGTCTTTCTGCCAACAGTATCCAAGTTTCCCATCCATGTTATCGAATGGAGACTACAGGCGATTTGTCAGTCTGTACTTCGTTTGAAAGCTGATTTTGCCTCTCCATATTCTTACCGATTTGCTCATTGCTACCGTGACTATTGCAATCATTATGCGAAATTCCGAGCTTCACGTACTGTCTTTAGACAAGATTGCTCCCAAGTATTTAATCTGTACATTTCCTCCAGTAATAATTTAACGGAAGGCAATTATCAGTTATCTCTTGTTAATTCTTCTCTCCAAGTTCTCCACTGCCTTAACCGGGCATTGAACTCAGACTCTTTGGGTCCTGACACTGGATTTAATCGAGGCCTTTATCCACTGTGCCATGTGTCCTTGAGTTCGACAGGCCAGAGCATACAACGGCCAAAACGTTGTAATAAATATGGCGACAAAGAAGCGGACAGTGTTCCGAATAATGTAAATAGTGTACATAATAGCTTATCTCAGAAATATAGACATTCTATATTGGCGGTTTTCAGATTATGATTCGGAACGGTGTACAGTTTGCACTACAATCCATGGGGTTTTATTGTCGTGAAGAAAAGGATAATCTTATTAACTCTGAGGTATCGGTAACTGTGCCTAATTTGGGGTATAGAAATCCACTATTGAGCTGGAAGTAGTGGTTGTCTGGTTAGAGTTAAGTTATTTCGACCCCAGCTTTCTCCGGCAGATTTGCTGCTTAAGGTCGGCCATATGTGATAATATAACCAGCATTTTGCTAATATATTGCACTATATCATTTTGTTCAATATGTATATGATACTGGTGTTAGGGCGTTTACAGTCGTTGTTCCGTATTGGGTCGTATTGAATGTTTCAGTGTGTTAACCGCTCTGTCTCTGTTTTACAGTTAAATTCAAATCAGTCGTAATCATTTATTTCAGTAATAAATATCACAAAGCATATGATCTGTATTGCCTATTTTTATTAATCCCTGAAGTGACATTTAGCTGATTACTGTCAGTGATGAAGAGAGTGAAGTGAGAGTGATGTACACTCGAGTCCTAAATATTGCAGATGCATGCACTTGTCACTGGTGTATTCTCAAAGAATCTCATATTTTATCCAGATATTTCGCCTTCTTACAAATTGGTGATTTGTCGATTTGTAGTCCAATGAAGCGGCGCCGAAAATTCTTTCATCTATTTTTTTTTCTGTCCGAGACTCAGTTTTATGATTCATGCGATTAGTTGTACGGACAATAGTCATAAACATTTCCAATGTGTAAACTCTATCTAGAAATGCTCTATATCTGATAGTGATTAATTTTACAACGTAATATAGTAGATTTAAAAAAACAAAAAACAAAAAAAAACACACACACACATCAGCCTGTATAAAGTACATTTCATTGAAACATTTCCTCAGCATCGCATTGAACATTGAAATGGACAACTCCCATGAATGGTTGATTCCGCCATTAAGATTAGCCTCTGATTGGTGTTTATTCTCTCTCTCTGTAACACTCCCTCTCTCTCTCTCTCTCTCTCTCTCTCTCTCTCTATATATATATATATATATATATATATATATATACACCAGTGACAAGTGCATGCATCTGCAATATATATATATGTATATATATATAAATGAAATATGTGGTGCAGTTCAATTTATATTACAATGAATCATTTATACAAAAATTAGATGAGTAAAGTTAATGATATAAAATGGCGAAATCCTTTTCGAACATAAAATTTTAAAGGTGCATTAATTTTAAAAAACAAGGATCATAACATTCATCGAGTGATTTATAGGTTAATGCACTTTTAAAATTTCGTTTGCGAAAGGATTTCGCCATTTAATATCATTAACTTTACTAATTTACTTTTTGTATTAATGATTCATTGTAATATATATATATATATATATATATATATATATATATATATATATATATATATATATATAATTAACTGATTGAAAATATGTTTTCGCTACACAGTTCTAACCATGTTTCGAAAGTGAATGGAATCTAAAAGCTTCGAATTTAATTTTTAATCTTTATATATATATATATATATATATATATATATATATATATATATATATATATATATATATATATATATTCAAAAATAGCCCACCTGTATATCTCTTTCCCCCCACAAGAACTACCTTGAAGGATTGTCGACACCAAGTGTTTGAGGAATAAAAAAAACTCCTAACCTCTTCGTGTTGACAATCCTGCAAGGTTGTTCTGTTGGTTTGATATAGCTATATATATGGGGTATTTTTTTAATTTCTCTTATATGTAATTTATTTATTTACATATGCTTTGTTATAACAATTACATTGAGATTTCTTTGTGGATCAGTTTTAATACTTTATACTATTAGGATACACTTGGATTATTAACCTACGGATTTTTACCTATATATATATATATATATATATATATATATATATATATATATATATATATATATATATACTAGCAGCATGGCCGGCGTTGCCTGTACTTGATTCAAAATTCGTACGACTGATACAGCAATCGCTCTCACTTGACTCAAAGTATTTTGGCCCTTCCTTGCCTTTAAAGAGTGCCCTTTGACGTGTTGATGTTGCTATATGCCTTACTTCTTGCCTATCTCACACTGCCAATTTTTTCTAAGCTCTATACTAAACATTAAATCTGTTACGAAAAAGAACTAAACAAAATGAACGCAAAACGATCAGCTGTAAAAAAAGGACTCGTAACTGGAAAAAACCGAATGAAAAAAGAATGTTAACAACAAATACATTTCACGCCCTACCCAGTTCTGCTGAATCAGTGTCGCGGCGGGAACGCATGGGTTGGGAGTTTGGCTGGCGTAAGTGATCGAGTTGCACGTGCCAGATCTTTTCACACTACACCCCCTCACTCTAACTGTGATTAGGATTGGACTCAAATGAAACTGCCTACCTAAGCCTAACTGGGATCTCGCGAAAAAGTGTCCGGGAGCCTTTAAGACTAATCCCGATCTAGGCTTATGCCCACTGGGGGTCTTTACTCTCAGCTTGCCGTGAGATGCCCACAGACGCAGACGCTCCAATGACTGGCAGTCCTAAAGAACTTCGTTGAAAACAACATTTTTCGTCCGACGTCCTGGTGTCAGAGTGAAAATATCACTCTTGCTCCCTACACGTGAGCAGCCAACGTAAAGCTGACCGTGCGGAAAGCATTGTTCACCTAGGTGCAACCCCGATACACGCAATGTTTGCCCCTGTGCCTTGTTAATGGATATTGCAAAACAGACCCTCACGGGGAATTGAGACCTCCTAAACATGAAGGGAATGTCTGCTCCAGAGGGGTACTGATGCATCCGGGGGAATCATCACCACCTCTCCCCGTTCGCAACCTGTGATTATCGTAGCCTCAATGTGGTTCAGAGATAGCGACTTCACCACCAAACGTGTGCCGTTACATTGTTTTGGGGGAACCAAGTTGCGAAGGAGCATAATTGGAACCCCGACCTTCAACTTTAGAAGTTGGGGTGAATTCAATAGTTCGATTGGATAGTCAACAACAACCTCAGAGTCTGGTGTCCTATCGATGGATTTGTAGACTCGCTCTTCACCTGGGATTTGTGGGAGAAGCTCGTAGATAATCGCATCAATAGTACGGTTTTTGGGGGCAAGAATGGCGCGTTGACTACGCCATTCCATGTTACGGAAATTGGATTCGAGGTTTGGGAAGACGCAATTCACCAATTGAGAAGCTGTCTCGACGACTGAGCGAACAGATTCAATCGAAACCATTCCATTATCATCTGATGGCAGTCTACCCTCGCCCAGAACCAAACGCCGCTGGAAAAACTCTGAGTAGGCGGTGTCACCCCTCAAGTGGGCACGCATGTTTTTGCTAGTCTCCTTAAATGGGACCACAAGGTCGAGGATTTAAGACAGGCTCCCACGACATCAGCCCTGTTACCTTTTGGAATGACAGGCAGTGTTTGTCTGAAATCACCTGATAGAAGTGTGATACCCCCCATAGGACGATCTTAATCTTTGATGTTCCGCAAGAGCCTGTCAAGGGCCTCAACTGCTCTTTTATGGGACGTGGTACACTCATCCAAAACTATGGCCCTGCAACGTCAAACAACCTCAGCTTTGTGAGAATTTTTTGAGATATTATAGATGGGCGTGGTCTCTTTTACCAAGTCGAGAGGTAACTTAAATGCTGAGTGAGCTGCGATGCCCGTTGATGCCACCGCTAGTGCGATATCACCGGTAGGCCTGAGCTCGTTAAATATGAGTTTAGTAACAAAGGTCTTACCTCCACCACCGGGAGCATCGAGAAAGACAATACGACCCGTTTGGTACCGTACGGAGTCAACGATAGTATCGAAGGCTGCTCTCTGTTCAGCCAGAAGTTTAGGCATGTTCTCCGCAAGATAAATCTCAAGCTCCTCGACGTTATATGACGTCTCCCTCAACAAATCAGTCGAAAGATCACTAACGCGTTCATGATGTATAGGTGGTAAGCCATATGTCGCAAGTGTAGTACCACCTACCTCTAGAAGACTGCTTCGAGTGCAATTAGTGCCCTGTTGTAAATTATCCCGCTGAATGTAACCTCGATGTCAGGATTATGGGACTGAGCTTGACGTAGGAAATCTTCTGACATGCGGTCTTTGTAGCGCTCCAATAAAGAATTTGGGTCATTTACTTCACACCACTGAAGAAGTATTGCAAATAGATACTGGAGAGAGCCAGGAGATCTCAAAAGGACGCCCTCTGCTAAGGTAAAATCCCATTGCGTGTCATCTTGAAGAAGACCGCTCCTAAAGCAGGCCTCACGGAATGAAGGGTTGACATAACCTTCTGCGATCCAGATACCTCATGCAGGAGCAGTCGGAGGTAAAACACTCCTGCTGGCTTGGTGGTACGGTGTATACTCTGCCTAAGCAGCTGTCCCATTTTACTCCATGCTGCCCTTCAATGTCCTGGCCTGTTTTTCTTCGAACCCAAGTATTTCCCGACCAAACATAGTAGGAAGGAACCTGGGGGTAGATGAGTGTCTGAGCGAACGTGTCGTGACAACACAGCTTTAAAAAACAATAAGCGTAGTTTCCTTTGGATTCATTGCAATCTCGGCTGAATTTTCCTCCGTGAAATGGGATCGCTGACCATTTTCTAGATGGACAGCCAATTGCACAATAGCAGGAGGCATTTGATGAAGTGGAAAACCGAAAATTCGCCAAAAAGCTTCATTGCTACTAATGTAACAACCTGCCAAGTTCTCCGATACCTCAACGCGACAGTTGGCGATTTGTCGTGTGAACATGGCTGCGTCTGAACCCTTATTCACGTACTTACAAATGGGCCTTATAGACTTAACAGAATTACAAATTCAACATTTATATGCGCGTTAAAAGTTTTCAAAAGGAGGGGGCAGTACAGCACAATCCACCGATTGTCTACGCTATGCCCCTTAATGTTAACGGTGAAGCCTCCATTTTCAGGTTGGCTCCGGCGGTAAAGTGGGTAACAGTCTCCTGCGGTTGAGGTCTCGTCAGTAAATGTTTTAGGAAAATTCTTAGTACATGTATTATTTCTATGGCAAGCAGAGAATGTTTCGAACTCAGGTCCACAGGATCTATGAACCATGTTGCAATTTACGATTGCGTACAATTGTGGATCGAGAACGGGATCCGGGCTTTCGGCCGAAATTATATCGTCCACTGTAGTCGGATCAATTCTGCTTGTAAGCCATATAAGGATATAGACATGGGAAAGATCCCTTTTCTGCTACTCGACGTCGCATCAAACAGGACTAAATATTTGGTCTTTTGTAATCAAATCCATGAACTTAATGACTTTGCCTAAATACCCGAGCGATAAGGTCGCGACGGTGACAATATTGCTGCCCTGGAAGTAATTCAGACGTAATTTCGACCCACTTAGGGTTGCAGGTAAACGTGATAAAGAGGTATGAACGACCGTGGGTACGCGCATGCATATTTCGTGGACCCCCTGTAATTAATGAGGGTAAAATGCAAGCCTTCCCCAGGTTGCGGGGGTTTACCTCATTCCTAATCCCATCTTGCAGGTGGATATAGCTGTCACACCTAAGCTTTTTCTGGTTGAGTTTAATGAAGCCCAATCTCTCCGACTCCATTTTCACAGCCATGTCAACTGAAAATTGGTGAAAAAATTATGAGCCCTGTGCAATGGATTAATGGAGCCAAATCTTCTCATAAATTGGTATGAGTAGAATGACATACAGGATTCAGTGGTTACGGATGAGGTAATGCCACGCCCGTACTGAGGAATCCCAACATAATTCTCATCGTCTCCATATGGGAAAAGAAGCGGGTACTGGAGTGCGTCGTATGAGCGGTGGGTTTAATTTATGTGTTGTAATTCGCTGTTCTGACAGTGAAGAACAATATCTCGAGGTTTATGTAGAAGTACGGCAACCTCATTGCCTGAGGGAGCATTGTAACGGCGTAAGTGTTCGCCCGAAGGCCTCTTATCTGCATCGATAATGATGGAAATATCGGGGCTAGATGAGGTTTCTAAAGTGTACTTAAAGCTCCGAACGTAGCTTCTCCATTCATGGAGCATATTCTGCAAGGCAAGCAGGAGATCTTTGTCAACGGTATGCGAAGGATTGCTTCGGCGGGAGGAAAAAATGCCGCACCCAATATCGGTCTGCTGATTGTAATAAAAAATGAAGTAGATTTGGAGGAATGAATGCGACTGTTCGTTTTGGGGTTGTAGCGAGCCTATCAAGTGGTAAACCTGGCCTTGAACCTTAAAAGTGGGCATCCACCCAGCCATTTTACTACATCAGCCCCGAACGAAGCACAATTGTACGTATGTAAATTTGTTAGAAATGCCCTTGAAGCGGTATTCGTACCCATAAGTACCTCCTTTAGCGGAATAGGCGGTACCCTAATTGGGGGCAAATGGATTTTGCCAATCAAGCAGCAAAACCTAGGCGTTTCTCCAGGCCATTTTAGGGTGCCACATTGCCGACAGTCCTGATCGGGAGTTGTAATTAACAGTAGGATTGTACTGAAACGCTCGGCGTAGCCAAATTGATTTACAAAAACTAGTGAAACCCGGTGAGCACCTCTGCGTTTATTGTTACCTTCAAGTCTAAAGATCCGTTGCTGCAGTGTTTCTGACGCCCTAGACGCGGCCATAGCTGCTGCATTACGTAAATTTCGCGCCCTGTGCTCATCCACACTCTCAGCGGCCCTAGACGTGCCCATACCTGTTGCATTACGTGAATTACGCGCCCTGCGCACTACCACACTTTCAGCGGCTCTCAAAGCCCTCTGTTTTCGTGACCAAGTGCTCAGCCGACCCAATGGGATTCTCTTCGTTGATGGCATTATGAAAAAAAAGGAACGAATTCACGTATTAGCAACAGTAAAAGGTATAGCAGTGTCAGGTTTAGGGATGTGCCCACTACGGGGGCTGCCAACGCGTGGAGTTTTAGTAGTGTAAAAAAAGAGAACACAAAGGAAAATCGTATTCGAGTTCGACAAATGTAGGTATGAACAGAGGAGTAGCGTCTACCATGCAACCAATCGTAGTTGTGTGGTTGAAGGAACCAAATCAACGTTGAGTTTAAGCAAGCGAATGAGCCAATTGGAGTAAAGTGCCATGCAGATTGAAATTTTTCACACTTGTGACGAATGCATCTATCGATGTTTTTTGCATGCTAGCATGTTATTTAACATTCGTGTTAGTCAGCTGTTGGCATTCACGCTGGCCAATATAATCTTGCTGCCTATTTGTGGCAGCCAGCTATAGGCTCTCACTCTGGCCAGTAGAAAATGGCCGCAAACTACATGAAAACTGTCGTAGAAGCATAAAACAAATCGATTATTTCCACTATCGATGGGAGTTGGAAAATGTAAAGTCGTTCTTGGTCTTCCCGCTAACTTGGAGCATGTGCAAATCTGTCTGAAATTGCGGCCTTGCATTCGTTACATGCAGACACACATCTTGCCTTATATATATATATATATATATATATATATATATATATATATATATATATATATGTGTGTGTGTGTGTGTGTGTGTGTGTGTGTGTATGTATGCATGTATATATGAAAAGAGGGTGCGGCTGATGAATTGTCTTCTAAATTGCGCAAAATTGAAAATAATACTGACATCTCATTTTAACAGACATATTTACCAAAATTACTCAAAAAAATTTTGATAAACTAAAAAGTAAATTTATTTAACAGAATCCCCTTTTGTGAATACTGCCATAATCCTTGCCTTCATCTTTGCTGCTACAAAGAGTTTTGTTGGTATGTAGCTCAAGGGAGATAGGTAGTCAGATGAAAAGGGTTATATGGTCGTAAAATGTAGATGATCCTGTTGGCAGACATAGATTTTTCCAGAGAACCATCTCCTTTTCTCCGTACAGCTCTACCTTTTCAAGGCACTTGATATAACCCTCCTTGATGAGTCTGAGACTGTGTGGGAAGGTGAATTGAGGTCTAACTTCACCATTACTAGTGATCACTGCAAACAATTTCGTAATCATCCAGCTCTTCCAAAATCCTGTACAGTCTGGACTGTTCGTATTAGAATGTCAAGCAGCAAAGTATGCCTTTTTCAAATTTCTTACGGATAGAATTGCGTCATGGCGCTCTTTTTTCTCACAGACGGTGTCCAAATGAGCCTACTATACTGTGCAGTCAACAAAATAAAAATATATATATATATATATATATATATATATATATATATATATATATATATATATAATAATTTGACTGTAATTCCTCTTTTATGCGAGTTTAGTTAAAAACGACTGACAAGGTGCGTTTTTCATAACATGTATTATATAAAAATTGTCCAAATGTTTTCCAAGCGATTTC